CGGAGGAAAATTCCGTGTTGCCTAGACCACGGCCTTGCCCAACACAAGTTATAAATTCGGGCACCGCCGGGAATCGAACCCGAGACCCCAGGATTACAAGGCCAGCGTTCTAACCGCTAGACCACCGTGGCATAACGCGGCCTACTACGAATAAAAGAATTATTAATCAAAATCAGCATCAGAGTTTAAAGCATTTTCCTGGCAAGTATAAATAGGCTTATATAGCTATAATTAAGTAATTGTCAACCGATCTGCAACTTCTAAACGACTGCTTTGAATCAGAAAAGAAGAATCGAATTTATATCGGCCGAATAAAACAGTAACTCGTGGAACACCCACGTGGGAAAAAAGGTTTTTTGTTTTGGCAGAATGCAAAACGTAAAGAAACATTTTTCTAAAAAAACAAAAAAAAAACACGCAGAACAGCGCTTAAAACTGGGAAAATATTTCATTATTTAAGTAACAAGTTTGATTTTTGGTTATTGTGCCAAATATTTGTGCCTTACTTCCACTAACAAAAGCAAAATAGGTCTACACTGTAGACCTATTTTGCTTATTGCTATTATGAAGCATTTTCATGATTAAGTTAAAAAGAATGAGATGGGCTGGGCATGTAGCGCGCATGGATGAGACAAGAGGTGTGCACCGGGTATTGGTCAGGAAGCCTGAGGGGAAGACACCTCTGGGGAGACCTAGACGTAGATGGTAGGATAATCTTAGGCGGTATCTGTCAGAGATAGGAGTTGAAGGAGACTGGATTTTGTGGCCCAGGACAGGGTCCGGTGGAGGGCTTTGGTTAATTCGGTGATGAACCTTCGGGTTCGATAAGCCATCTAGTTAGTTAGGTCTACACTGTACATAAATAATGAAAATGCTTCATAATAGTTATTATGACATTACGAATAAGCTTACACAGCGACAGCTTGATATATCCAGTACGCGCAATGCACGTTTGTTTAACGACGCTATCACAATTCCGACTGTAAGAGAGATGAATGATTAAATCATAGTGAAACGGGAAAGGTAATTTGAAAACACTTGGCCATGAAGACTAATCTCGAGACAGACATTTTTAAGCCGGTATCTCCCGAAAAGCAAGCACGAGTACTAACCACTCGGCACACTTCGAATGCGGGGGAGTAATGGCTGCATAAGATTTTCATACTGATTATCTGTAATTACCATGTTCTTTTGGGTTCTGGCGCCATCATTAACATCGTCGCCGCCGTGAAAACCTCAAATCTCGCATGATTATTTGTGATTAATTAGGTCGATACACATAGCTTAAATTTCCAGCTTTCTAGGATAACTGAAGACTGACCATAGGCCTGTACCATTAATAAATATAAATAAGTGAACAATGATTTTTTAATAACAGGCTTAATAACGTTCTGTGTGAACCTGCTTGCGAGGATCAGTAAATGACAGGCGCGTTTTGTTAAACTGACCAGAAATTTCAATAAAAGGTCGTCATATTAGTCTATACACGGCAAATATACGGTTAAGAACCCCTGTTCGAAAGTAATTTTATGGCAAGATATTAAGATGGAGTAAAGTAATTAAATGCTGTGTTATGGTCGCATAACCAAGACAAAGGAATTCTGACTACTGAACGATTCTTTCAGTAACGGGCTGACGAACGTTATTTCACTCACAAAAGTTTCAAATTTCAATTTGTTTGTTGTGTCGTTGCTTCATTCTGATCTTCATTCAAATCAAATAATAATATTATTATTAGCCTTCACAACAAATCAATATTACAAGCTTTAGTATTTAATTACATGTTTGTGTCAACAATTTTATCAGTGACATGTTTTGGACGTAGTCCATCATCAGACATAGAATGTTTAAGCAACATGTAATATTGATTTATTTACATTTGCGGTAGTAATTCAATAACACATAATAATAGGCGACATACCGGTGTGTCGACCTCACAACTAGACCAGACCCGTCACATACCAGCAGATGCTCGGGTCGTTCCTCTGGTTCCTGGAAGAACAAAATATCAGTCAATTTTTTCGTTTTTAGAGCTCGTTTCTTTTCTGGGAACTACAAGTAGTCTAAAATTTCAACCGTCATCTCAGCCCACGTGCAAATTTCTAGGAACTCAAGCGGAAAATCCACATGAAGAGGAGCTTGTGAAGGGTCAGTGCGTTTGTCATAGCAGGCCCAAACGTTGCTTACATCAGGTAATTAAGCAGACAGGCCTACAAAAATTACGGTACAGAAACACAGGTATATGATAACTACCCGGCTTAAGAGAGAAAACCTGTCCTAATCTGCAAATTTTTCCAAAGTCGTGTAAAATTACACCACCATCAACGTTTTAAATTGATGTAGGCCTACTATAGACCTATGTTACATTAACAATCTGCAATTCTGTTGAAAAGTAACGTTGGTACACACAGACAATTATTTTCAACTGAGAAACTCTGAAGTAATCTACATTAAAAGCAAATTTCTAATCTACACTTGCACTGAACCCGGTTGTGATAAAATATGCAGCTTTTTGACTGTATAAGCTCCCGCTACAAATAGCGAATCTGAATAATTAGATTAAGCCGTAGAACATTGTCAGTCCGCGGGCCACCGATTTGGAAACAATGCGTCAAACCATCTCAAATCTGATCGAAGAACTGTAATACAGCATGAAATGTAGTCATGCGTAATGATTGCTGTGCCAGTTAAAGGATAAAGAAGCCATGCGGCCTTGCTGAGTGAGGCCACTGACCCATCCTCAGTTCCTTCAATATGCACGCGCATCCTCACAGACCACTTCGCCGATGTACATGATAATAACGCTTCCTGGTATAAAACCTGAAGATACACCTGCCCCTTTGTTAGTCCTCCCGCGACATTCTGAGACAATGGTCGAAATCATGCTTTATAGCCTATGGTTCCGGACCTTGTAGCCCTGGTAGCATCCCAATTAAGGACGAGTACAATAATTAACTCCACTGTACAGGCCCATGCCTTCCATCTTCTATGGAAAGCTTATTCAGGTGGTCACGAAACTCGTTGTTTTTATGGAACCCAGGCTGTTCATAACAGTATTAACGAAAAACAACAGACCCTATTCATAGCCACTTGAATCCATTTTCGTGTTGTTGCTATTGATTCACATCAGAACGAAACTTACTTGATACTTTCGACATACAGTTTTTATTTGTATCATGGCTACTCTGAACATCTAACCAATCGCTTCTTATCCATATAATTTGGAAGAAGCAAAACCACAATCGAAAAGTGGTATACAGTGGTCATGTTTCAAAGGAAAAGAATGTTGTACATTGAAGCGTGAATGGTCTCCCTCGGCCGCACGCACGAATGTCAATTTCATAGCGAAATGTCTGGGCAGAGCTAAAGAAGGCAATGACCTGTGGGGCTACACGTGTATCTCCCACGGTTTGTTGGAACTTAGGGCCCGCGAATGCTCGGAACCTTGACTCCCCCAACGGGGCCAATGCCCCCGTGATGATTATTATTCCAAGACTCTTTCTACACACACTGGTATTGTTAAAATAGGACTCGTGCTTCGAACATCTTATTCAGGCCTAGATGTCGCAATAGGCAATGTAACAAAACACACTTCCGGTTTAGAGATAACCAGCCTTGAGAAAATATGCACGAGGCCAGAGTGTCGGCGTCTCTTGTCGATCCATGAGAAAGCACGTACCATCAACGCTTTGAAGCCGAGTCCGTCCAACATTTAAGAACGAAGTGTCCTCAAGAAAACACGCTTCTCCATTACAAAGATCAACTGCTTAATGCTTATCCTGGGAATCATAGCAAGACCATAAATATAAACTGAAGATTCGTGATTGTTAAGACAGATGGTACGTAGAGTTTTCCACTGGTGTGTAAAGGGGTAACAAACAAAATTCTTGATTTCGGTCAACTAATGTAACAAAATGAACATGAACACAGTCTCACAAATTCACTATTTACTATTATATATACATATATAGCCTAAATGCGCTTTGGTTCAAGTTATTTTCCTGCTCACTATGTGGAGTTGTATATTCTTTGAATTAATTACACGTATCCGAGGTCTTCTTTCGTAAAACTTAAGTTCAAACTGACGTAAATATTCGCTTCTGCCTTCAAATGTCTAAAAGGAAAAAAAGACGAACATAATCCATATAGCTTATATCTTAATTGCATCATGCTTGTGTTCCTCAATACAGTACTTTTATTTTCCGTCGTTACACACACTTAAAATATGCAAGCTTTATATACCGGCATTGTAGTCCTTGGCTAGATCTGCGTCTATATTTGTCTGTATCTTTGTAACTGTCCTATCTATTCCCCTTTTTAGTGCGCTGTCTCCTATTACATACAGGCCTAACGTTTCATCCTGATTTATACTGAGCTTACAATAGCAAGTTACATTAGGCCTATTATTAAAAGTGCACTATACTCGTTGCCACTTGATGGGTTTCAAAGAATTACAGCATTTCGTTTATTGTATCATGAAATGTTCAGTATCTCAGGGATCGCGATCCAAGTACACAACGCAAACAAATGAAAATTCAGACATATTTTGCCTATTTACCATATGAAATACACAGCCTGCTTTTAACAAATGTTTCTGCAGATTTTCCGACCTCTTGCGTGTTATTACGTGTCCGTATCTCTATCGCTTCAACTTGTCCTTATTTGTATGTCACACATAAAACTAATCAAAATGAGAAAAGGTGAGAATTCAGTTTCTTACGGGTACAAGTATGAACATGACCGTCTCTGAGATGCTGCTTTGTGTTATATCGCTACTAAAGCAAAATACTCTTTTAATAAAATCCTCTGGGGCTATCAAACGCGTCTAATGGTTAAAATTCGCCGACGATTCTGGGACCACCTCAATCATCCGGGCGATAATGGAGGCAGCATGGACCTCTGAAACGTTGGTAAACTTCTACCAGACTACACGGCGCAACAACCCAGAAGACAGCCATCTTAGGTTGCTACTGTTTTGTCGAACACCATAATCACATTTATAACTCTCTGCAATGTCCGCTAATCATCTTTTCATGAACAACATGCAAATCAACATTGTACCTGGAAAGCACAATAAATGTTGCGTAAGTGACGTCATAGCTTGGGAACTGTTCCGAGGCCGCGCATGCGCAGACAGACTAATGCAGATTGATCAATAGATGAGACGACAATAGCGTGGAACACTGAACAAGCATCTACTGTAAAATGATCACCAGTCTGTATTTCCTCTTCTATGGTCTTCAGATAAGGGGAGTTAATCATCATCATCATCATCATCATCATCATACGACTTCACACATTCAGACCTTAGTGGTCCGTTTCGACCTATAGTTGATTATCGTCTAAAAGTCGTTTGAAAGGTCGAAAAGTTCAGTGCAGCAAACCCTACGCCAAAAGCGGGGGGTTACGGTCCTCAAAAACACTGCATCTGGCAAGACTATAAAAAATTGGGGGTTGGGAGAGCAGTGGCCGGTGTTAAAACACACAACACAGCTTAGCTACTTTCAATGTTCCGTCACTTTACACAAATGCCAACACAAATTAAAAATCGCTGGTACACAAAACCAAATACCGCGGTTAGCAAATTTGGATAACTGTATCAGCACCTGACCACGAAATTATGCAATGCTTCGTTTCCGTGGTCAAATACCTTTGGGAACACAAAATGAGTCACAAACAGCAATCACACAACAACACTTGAATTTGAAAAACTAAAATACTTCATAATTAAGCAGTGCCACAAACTTCGAAACAGATAAGCTTGAAAGAATTAAAAAATCAACAAAACTACAGGCCTGTGAAGCCATAATGTTATATAAAAACTTCATGGAGTAGGGAACTGAAAACATATTTCCTGGTTTTATGAGCCACTCTATTTCTACATGATACATTTTAGTATCATGCTCCTATACGGGATTACGTTTCAAGTGGTGACGTTCCCTTAAGACACTATGGAAAGGGTACCAATATTTAATTTCCCTACGCATTCTGCATGCCCCGCCCACATAGCATTCTTGGACTCACTCTAATAATATTGTGTGACGAAATCTACATTTATCTGCACAATCTGAATAGTCCCACCCTTCTCGCTAGATGTCCATGTTTAATTGTTCATTCTTGCTTCGCCCGATGGACGTACATATTAGCATTTGCATTACGGAATAAAACCCGGAATCAATAACAAAAGGTAACTTTAGCAACAAAGAATTAATTAAGCAAACTTAAACATGTACATACACCACACCATCACGTCACACAAACTAAGCAAGCCTTTATAATATAAATTAATATTTATGGCACGGTGGCAATAAATGCGTGTTTACACTACCGTTGGCCACATACGTCTCCTTCGACTCAGTTTTTTTAATTCCAAAGAATGAAATTTTAAATACACGCACAAACACATTTTCTGAAACCGAGCTCTGACAGCAAACTACACAGAAATCTTGCCATTCAACACCCGTGTTTCTATCCTTGTGTTCATCCAAGTGACACAGACCTGACAACCTCAAATCGACAAATTTCATTTTGACAACAGGACTTTAAATCAATGAAATGCAAATTAAACAGCCAGAAATCAAAGCAAATGGAATAGACACTAATATTTTTTGTGTTGTTATTGCTAGAAAAATTACTACACAAAATTTCAATACGTTCTTCTTACATGGAAACAATTTTATAATAATCACGAAACTGTAAGATGAGCTTCGGCACAATTCCCACTTAAATCTAGCACAAAATAATTCTACCGTTAATTAATAGCAGGACAATAACATCGACATTTCAAGTACGCACAGTATTTTAGACGAGGATTTTCAAAACGACGCTCAAAACAAAAGAAGAAACTTTTAAAAATGATAGCACATACATAAGTTACAAATTTATCCGCCAAAACAATATGGAGCCACACTTCAGTGGCCCCAGTGCTGCTCCAAGCGGCGGAAATTATTCATATGCTTGGCGCTTTTTTAAGTTCCGTACAAGACAACAATCCCAAAATAACTTCAAGTTACCTGTTGTCTCAAAACCTTCACTTCTTGTAACGTGTCACACTCTTGAGATTTTCTACATTTCTTGCTTTGTGCATGCCACATTTCGACATCGTCATTGTCACGTGATTGTGATCAAAGCTCAGGTTTCACTATCTTCAGTTTGCAACACTGAAATCAACAATCGACTTAATACGGAACAGGCACTTCACTATATACACCACTTATAACTGGAAAATAGATCATTTCTCAGCTTGTCACTAAAATGGTTTACAGTTGCAACATTATAATGAATTTCTATTCGACCCATGAACGATCATACTACCACACGCGCGATACTCTGTTGAAGGCACTGGCAGGATTCCAAGTGGGTCAGAGCTCTGTGACGGTGAGGTGTGCAGGGGAAATGCCAGCCGCAAGGTCGCTTACCACGTGCCAACCCTCTTGCCTTTGTATCGAATGAGCCACCGAGACACAACACTGTAGCACGGACATCTTCAATTATTACACTAGAAATGTCTATTACGAACACGACGGGAAAATTACTGTTTGAAGCTTCATTGGAAGCTTTCCAAAGATTATGCTTTCAGTTACTCACAAAATATCGAACGAGGGTACTGTGTAAGAGTGCCCAACCTCAAATAAATATTTCTCAAAGTAAACTTGCCACATCCGGGGAATGTAATTTTGGCATGCCTTACCTTTACATCCCGCGCCGGAAGTTACTTCTACGAACGTTCACTCCTCTGGCGTCGGCGTCACTACTATAATGATGTCCAGTAAGGCTGTGATGCCGCTTCCAATGCAGGTTGGTCGCTTAGCTGATGCCAGTTGCTGGCGTAACACTGCGCAAACCCAGCACATCTGACTACACATGGGTACCGAGTTCCACCGCTCGCTCGCGCAGTCCCAGTATCGTAGTCGCGAGTCGCTGCGCGCAGCGCGAATAAAGACGAAAGCAACCAATAAAAAATAAAACTGGGATGAAAATAAGGACGAAGAAGCGAAGGATCACGAAAATGAAATAATACAAAACAACGAATCGGCCAACAAACTTTTCTTTTTGGACAATGACACATGCATAGTAGTTGTGACGTCACTAGTCCGCAATTGTGATGTCATTGTCAAAGGGAAAGACGACAGAAGCCCAAGGTTGAGAAGGCCGTATGAGAAATAGCACAGTTTATTGCTCGCGAGGCAGCCAGCCTGACTTCTCCTTGCCTTCCCCAATCATTCCATGTTCTTATGGTCATGGCTACTCATCATTCGATAAATGTCCCAGGTGCCATGGTTTAGCAATTTTCATTGATGACAAATGTCAATCGCGACGTTCTGCCTGAGCGCAATGTTATCTATGTTGAGTCCACTCGTAGCGTTATCAATGAAGGGCGCGGAAAAAATGGTTTCCAGGTAACACAATCACATTCCCATTCCTGTATAGGCTTACCAACCCATAAAAACTCATTACTGGTTCTTCCGCCCGGCATCTTGAATCTTTCTGCATCTTTGTCTTCTTCCGGCCGGCATCTTGAATCTTTCTGCATCTTTCGAAATGCAACCATCGACATAGAAAACTATATTAGCCCCTCTTTTGCTACTAAGTCGCACACGAGAACGAGTAGCAAATTATTTTTCTTGTTCATACACATCGAACGTTGCGGTCTTACTTCCTGCGTTCATGTATCAGCCCGGAGACCAGCTGTCCTGATTGAGATTTTTGGTAGTTTTCCGTAGTCCTTCCGGGAAAATTCCGGGATATTTAAGCCATGACAGCATCTTTGTATACCTTTTCCAATTCATTGTTCATTAATTATCCTACCTTCATTTAGGCCATGACAGCATCTTTGTATACCTTTTCCAATTCATTGTTCATTAATTATCCTATCATTTGACTGTGTACAATCTGAGATACTGACAATGTCGATAATAAGTCATAAAACTAAAATAAACCACAATTATTAGCTGCTCGTGATTCGATAATTATCTTTGGTGTCTGTTAATTAAAATCTGTGAAAGTGTATCTTCTACTATTTGTTGATGCTTGAACATTCTTTATTTTGGTCTCAATGAATAAAAATTAATAAATTAACGTTCAACATACAAACGAAGGCAGGCACGAATTTTGTTGAAAGTTCAGCACTGAAAGGGTTTAAAAACAGAATTTCCAGTGATATGCAAGATTTGTAGTATCTCCTGAAGTCGAGACACAATGCAGAGAACCAGGAAAGGATTGTTAATCTAATATGGAGTTAATATATTTTCAAAATAATCTTAAGTTTCATATATAATGTTTGTATTGTTTGGTTTTTCTTGAAGTCTTCGGTGCTCCTTGATGAATTATTCACAGAATATCGTGAAGACAGTGTGTTAGATGGGCTAGTTATAAATTTGTCTGCTTCTTAGATTATTTAACGACGTTATCTCTTTTGTATAGACCAAATAGCGTCCTGTGTAAAGACGATCGTGGGTTATAGTTTAAGAAAGGTGTGAGAGGAATCTGTTGCGATCTGTTATGAGGTAAAACCCACCAAATCCTAAGATCATATTAGCCAGTCTTTGTGTCAAGAATCGAAACTGGACCTTCCAAATACAGAATAGGCTACAAACCTTTAAACTGCGATGTTCTGTAATTATCGTGTGTATCTTTTCAAACATCGCGCTTTGCTATAATCATCATAGACGGGTTTTCATATGCGTGTCACTGGGTATTGTGGTCCGAAACCACGGCAAGCCAGTCGCTAATCTGGAAATGCCTGGCAACACAGGGCAAGTTAGCATAGGTTGTGTTACCTGAGCCTGCTGTAGTTTGGGAAGTGGCTAGACAAGTTTAGTTTGCAAAACAAGAATATGCTACCGTCTTCTAGGTAGCCATTTCTTCCCACGACGGTCATACATGGAGTCGCGAATGACTTATCGGAAGATTCCAAAGACCAAAATTACTTTTCAGCTTGCCATTATGACACATTCCATACCACGCACGACATGTCTCATTTATAAATACGTATTTTGGTCTAAGCTTGTTTCGCGTTTGAAAAAATAAACTTTACCATTTATCGAAAGAACGAACTCCATAGTGTCCGTTCCACCGCGCTCAGTGTCCTGATAAAACACCTGGTAGTCATGACCTTAAAAATCTAGATATTTATTTCATACGCTGTTTAACGTCGTTTAGGTCTAGCGGTTAGAACGCTGGCCTTGTAATCCTGGGGTCTCGGGTTCGATTCCCGGCGGTGCCCGAATTTATAACTTGTGTTGGGCAAGGCCGTGGTCTAGGCAACACGGAGTTTTCCTCCGTGGCATCCCAACAATTACTCCATTCACACACAGAAGAAGGCAATGGCAAACCACTTCTGGATCATCTGCCAAGAACGTATATGAACAGGTCCCAGTCCGAGAAAAGGATGGAAGGATCCTGTTCATATGGACCTGTCGTCAGACAGAACACTAAATAAAAATTCAACGACATAATTTAAATGTTGCGGAATTGTGAAAAAGATAATATGCGTTTTGGCTATTAAAATGTAGCATATCAGCATTTACTTGCAGAGACTAAAGGTCAATGAGGTTGAGGTTCTCACAGCGGCGAGTATAAAAATGACTATCTTCTGGGTTGCAGTAGAAATTTACGGACTCAGCTGATGATAAAAGTACAAAGCGTCGGCAAATTTATACCAGACAACACAGTTCTACATCATCAACGAGATTAGGGGGCCTACGGGTTGAGAATCGAACCCAGGTCGCACAGAAAGCTGATGATCAAAATTAATAAAATACTACACACATAGCAGGCAAGCAGACAGCTTGAGACACCTTGGCGAAAATGGGAAAGTAATATTATAACGAATTTTAGAAAATTAGGTGGTCTCAGACAAAAATCAAATAGCATTATTAATTATACAGAACTGGCAGTACTAACTTGCAGTGTCAGTGATAGAGAAATACAAGAAGTTCTACGACACGTTTCCATTCTACAGATACGGTATATGATTTAAAATACTTTGACGTGTTCTTTGCGCAATGTGCACATATGGGAAGGTCATTTCCACCGCCCTCTTCTCATGTTCCACTCGCAAACTACTCAATAGATTTACATTAAATTTGGTTTTAGGGCATAAGCCTGCGTTAAAATATGTCGAACAAATACAAATTTTCCTCTCACAAACCAAGAAGTTCGATGTAAATATAGTCCTTGCTTTCTTAAAGCTTCAGTAGTTTCGTATAGGTTTTTATTAATTATAGTAATATTTTAATATTTAATAGGAATTTTATTGTGATTAGACTGACAAGATTTAAACAAATTTATATTTATCACAATATGACGCAACTTTATCATCTCTTAAACGACTTATTGTACAAAATAATTACACACAATAAAAGAAATAGTACATCGATCTTATTGAGATGTACAACTCACATTTTAAGCATCTTTCGATACAATGAGTATTTAGAGAAAATAAATAATTTTCTTTAAATAGTGTGGCTGAACAATATATTTATATCTACAACAAATCAACATCAAGGTCAGTGAGAACGCATCTGGAAAATCTGTGTCCAAGAAATCAGTCCACAATTAATCACATTTGAAATATGGATGAATATCTTCGCCTACCGTACGAAGTCGCTTGTGCTTCCGTTTAGCAACAACTCAGTGTTACGTCACACTTCCGGGAAACAATTTAACCGTTCCTAGCTTGAACGGAATGACCTTTGTACTGTCGTTTCCCGCTGAGTTCGTAGGATTTCAAATCGCATTCATTGAATGCTTCTTTATACATTAATCTTGCGAGTATTATTTTTGTGAACTGTTCACGGACATTTTAGAGTAAACAAATAAAGGAGGATGAGATGGGCCGGACATCTTAACAGCTTCAGATGGGAGAAATTTCAAGGAAATAGACGTTATGTGAGAGACCTAGGATTAGTTACGAGAATAACACTACAATTGATCTTGAATGAGATCAAATGATGCGTCTCTAATTAGTGTATCGCCAACCGGTGGTCCGCAAATTGTGCCCAAGTGGTCCGCGAGTTGAGTAGATTCTACTCATTTAGCTTTCATACTGTCTTGCTTAAAGTTTTACGTTTTATTTGACAAATTTTCCTCCTTCCTCATTTCAGTAAGAATGTGACGAAAAGAACTATACAGTCTGTCTATATTTTAGTCTATTACTGTTAAAATAAAATGTGAGACAAATTTGGGGAGGGGTCCGCGGTACCACAACGGTTGAGGCCCTCTATGATATTTTAAGCGGCCTTACTCAATTATCGAATTACAAGCCGTAACACATTTTAAATTTCAAATTCACGTCAAATAGCTACTTGTATAACACTATCCATTATTTAAATTAAATAAAATGCAAATATGTAGGATTTTGGGTTTTCACGGCGGTGAGTTTGAAGATAGCTGTCTTCTGGGTTGTTGCACCGTGTGGTCTGGTAGAAATTTATCAACGTTTCAGAGGTCCTTGCTGCTTCCATCATCAGGGCGCAACAACCCGTTCAGTCGGCACCATCCTATTCAAGGTTAGATTGCTATGGTTACCGCATGACGACAACAATAATGACCACGCGTTGTTTGTTGCACACGTTCATAACTGCCCCCCCCCCCCCCGGTAATCCTACACGTGGAACACGGCCGCAGCTGCTTCTGCCTCCCACGTGCTGATGTCTTTCCGTCCGTCCGAAAGCGGTCACGTGGAGTTTGGATACAAAACTGAGTTGTTTTACCGCATGGATTATGCCTGTCTGGACCTTGTGACGAGACAATACGGGGTTCGATTCCTCACAGGGACTAGATTTCTCTATTTATCACCATGTCCAAGCAGACCTGCTTTTTGGGGTTCACCCAGCCTCACACTTCAGCTGCTATCGCTCTACAAAGAGACAGGAGTCTCGGCGACCCCAAAGTCAAATTTTTGTTTATGGCTCAAAATTATAACATACTTTTAATAGAAATAGAATAGAATGAGGAAAC